GATTAAACCCCTTTGACCTTTGGGAGCATTAAGTTCAAACGTCGCACAAGTTTCTTTTTACAGCGATAGCATTTGACATATGTATCTACCACTATTTTGCTGTCCATTTGCATGCATGTGTGTTTCGGTGTATTTGTGTGTGTGTGTATGTGTGTGTGTGTGTGTGTATAGCTCAAAATCCGGATATATGGGCCGCCATGTGGGCGCTACGTGCTAATGGCGCACTTTGAGGCCGCCCAGCAAACGTGACAAACCGAAACTTCAATTCTCGAAACGATTGAAGAGAAAACCGAAAATCACATCAAGAATAGAAACAAATAAACAACTGTTCAGTTAATAGATACCCTGCACTCACATATAAATGTATGTACGTAATTGTGATTATCAAATATTATACTACATTAATATATATAATGACACAGTTTTTATAACCTTCGAGACTACCATCTACTCAAAGAGAAATTGAAAAATATATTCAAATGGATTATAGGGCGATTCAGGCGAGAAAGTCTGAATTATCAGATATACATATTTTTATTTTTATTTACGAACTGTCAGAGTACAATCAGGTAATTGAATAGATAATAGGGACTTAACTAGTTGTCTTCATATACGAGGAAAGTTATTCAAAGCTTAACCTCTTATATACAACTCAGATATACCCTTTTTATACAATTTGTATAGTTATAGGGTATAACAAAGCATTTCATTTGCATTGTTCAATTTAAAAGATTTTTGATTGATTCGACGCGCTTATCTTTGACTTGGCTTTGTAAACCGATTTCTTAGAAAACAACCTTTGGCTTACACACCGCTATCGAATGAGGTAACCAAAGACGGGGCCAAAGGTCACACTGAAAGCGGCTGAGGTTGGCTTTTCCCTAACTAGATTTGCATGGCTCGATGTTGATTTAAAAACAACAAGCAGAGTAAAAGTAATCGGTACATTCGACTTTAAGACATTTCAGACAACAAACGGGCATTTCTTGGAACTAGATTGTCACCAAAAATATACACACTGTGTGGGCACACAATTCGTTCTAAAATGAACATAACTTCAGTTGCGACAAACGACAACTTTAATAGGCGTTAAACTGTAGGAAAGACTACTATTTAACATTGTTGAGTTCATGAAATTACGAGAATTGTATGTGAGTTGCTTGCTATGTGAAATATCTTCGTTTCTCTCAACCAAATGTTGGGGAATGTGTCTCAAAGTGCAGCGTGGAAATGCCGGGAAAGGTCATCTTCAGTTGAGCTCTTATTGAAAAATTCTCTGTGCACAAATGAAATTTTCCGAGCAATTCGCCTTTGCTTATTGAGCAATGCACAATATTCACTTGGCCGGAAAGTTTCTCTTATTGACTGAGAACTTAAGCAGGAGTTTAGTTCTTTATGCATGACTGATTTTAAATAATTCAAGGAGTGCTTGAATTTGAAATGAGATATTTAGTTATTCTTATAATTTAGCGATTACACATAAATGGTTAAAGCACAATTTTATTTTAATTAGCAAAATCAACATAACAATATTAATGAGACTTTTCTTGCTTTGCATAATAACATTAACAATAATAATCACAAATATATATGTACATACAAATATATATACGGCAACTGGGTTACGTTATCGAAATTGAGCAAAACTTTTGCTTATCAATTCGAGACTAACAAGTTGCTCAAATTGTATAAAAGTCCCCCTTGCCACGATAAGCAAAAACACAGTAGAAACAAGAAAACAAACAAGAAACTGACTTGAAAACAATTTTCAGGTAATGTGCCACAACAAATTTGTGATGAATTCGCTTTTAATCAAACATTTAAAAGTTTTTTAGTATACAAAATAAAATTAAACTAAAAGAGAGAAACAGTAGCAAAACAAAACTTTGACTTGTGTATGGGCTTAATTGGATGGTTCTAAGTGCATTTAAGTGCAGGTCAAAGGATGGCAAAAGGGAAGCGGAGGGGTTGGGGTGCGTGGGTCTGTCGAAGCGTTAAGCTGTACGCCAAAGTTTTCTCTCATTTATTTTTCCTAGGAGCTACGTGAAACTTACAAACGGCATAAAAAATAAGAATGTTATGGAAACGAAAGAGCATTCAACTCAAGTTACCCTATAAACAGATTTGATATATTTTATATTCATTCGTAATGTGAGTTATTATCGACTTATTGAATTAAATTTCAATGATATAGATTCTTAATCACTTTATTTTTTATTAGTTTATTGTATGGTATAATTAGTACCTATTTAAATGCGTATTAAAAATAATTAGCTTTGTGAAAAAAACCTGTTAAACGTTTTTGAGAACGTATATACGTATATATATGTGTACAAACACATATAGACACAAATACCCTAATAAGTGCATTTCCTGTTTTACAGGGCATAAATAAAATATTGTAAATTCGTTTAAGAAGTTTTTGGACGTATTTTGGCAAACAAGTCCATGGGGGCAGCATTGTAATATTAATGTTCGGACAGGTCAGCCAGAACTAGTCGTGGAGCGTGGCTGCCAATTTAAGGCTGTCAGGTGCAGCCGCAAACAACAACAAAAAAAAACTAAAAGGGAACACATTTCTGAGGCGACTTTCTGGAAATGTGAATAAACTTTTCAAAACAAAAAACAATCAAGAAAAAAAAGCATGTTAAAAAATCGTCTTTGCGGTGAAAATGCTGCAATAGTTCAAGTTTTTCATGGCATTGCATATTTTAGCCACAAAGTTGCACACAATGTACTTATTTTCAATATGTGTATTTGTGTGTGTGTGTTGGAGTGTGTGTTATGCTTTTGCTTACCTGTTCATTGTGAGGTGCACTTAAAATTGCAACACAAACAACTTTGATGAAAACGACGAAGCGGCGACTACAAAACTGCGAAGACAACAACAACAGCAATGAAGAATAGCGTAAAAACAAAGTGATCAACGCGCAAAGCTTTTTAACCCAGCTTGCGGGCGGCATATCTGTGTGTGTGTGTGTGTGAGTGCGAAGGAGATGCAACTATAAAGTCTGCCCTGCGATTTGTTGTAATTATGCTGCCTTTGCCTCTGCCTCTGCCTCAGTCGTCAGCGTAGTCGCCACGATAGACACGTGAGTAAATTATTTGCAGTCAAGCGGATTTCGCGCACATTGAACGAAAGACAAACGCAAAAGCAAAAGTTCACTTTCGCTACTGCAGTTGCATATTTGTTGCAGCTGTTGTTCGAAGGTACTCGTGCAAATAATAACAAAAGTTGGACACGCAATGCAATTACAGTTAGATATGCCTCTGCTTGCTGTAAATTGCTGTTTTACTGGCACGTAATATTTAATTAAAATTGCAACGATCTGCAAATGCCAGTAGCAGAAGCACAAGCAGAGGCAGATGCAGAGGCAGCAACAACGGTAGTCAATTTCTTTTGCCTCGCGGCTGTTTGCTGTTATTGTTGTTGCTGCTGTTGTTGTTTCAACGTTTCTTTTTTAAACGAAAGCGACTCGTTTAGTTTCTGACACTGAGACAGTTCGCAAACACAGAGAAACACATCAATTTTTCGTTAAATTTTTGCTCACTCTCCGTTTGTCGTTCGCTCTGCGCAAACTCTCAGGCGTCGGCGTCGACGCAGGTAACTTTAGTTGTTGCTCTTTAGCTCTCTGTCTCTCTCTGAGACACACACAGATACGCACACATGCGCAGCTGCAAACAGGTAGTCGAAGACACTCACACAAACTCAACGAAGCAGAAACACAACGCAAGGCGTCGCGTTTTTTATTGCTTGCTTTTTCTTTTTTTCTTTTCTTTTCTTTTTTTTTTTGCCAATCGACTCAGAATTTCTGAAGCAATTTGCTTAACATAAGCCAGTTGAACTTTAATAAATAACTTTTTATAAACTTTAATAAACACTTTGCACAATTTGAATGCACTTTGATTTTCTTATTTGATTTCGTAACTGTTACCGAAGTCGACGCGCAGCGCACTGCGCTCTCAACAAAAGTCGCTAGTCAACTGAAATTGAAGTTGTTGCGCTTGCAACGAAAGCGACGGCGATAGCAACGGCATCAGCGACGGCTCAGCCAGAGCGTCAACGTCTTGGACGACTGAGCGAGCGTAATGGCCGTCAATGGTCAGCACTTCACAGTTAGACTATGCCGCTCTCAGCAGCGTTGGCGTTGACGCTGGCGTTGGCGCCGTCGCTGTCGCTGTCGCCAATTCGAGAACTTTGTTTAGCGATAAATAAATGCCGACGATCGTTCCTTCCTTAAAAGCTTTTCAGTTTTCGCAAAGCGAAGATGTCATTTCCCAGCGGAAGTGGCTGATAATGATAATCAATATGAAAATGAGTTGGATGCGGTTGAGGGGGGTTTAAAATTTGCAATTTAAGCAATAAAAAATGGAAATGAAATCAATTCGAATTACTTTTTTATTGTTATTTATTTATTTAATTTATTAAAATTCGCTTGCGCGGTCAATTGAGAAGTGGAATATTCCATGTTATTTAAGTCACTAAAATGCTTTCAGCCGTTTTTAAATAAAATACATTTGTCATTTTTTTGCACCCGTTTCGGTTGAAATGTTTCGAAATATAACTGTTATTATTATTATTATTGTTATTATTGGCAGTGATAATGTTTTTATAATCATGCATTTTGTTGCAGCTTTATATTATGCGTTCTGATTTAATTTAAATTTATTGCAACCCACGCACCCTCTTCCCGCCTTATCACACTGCGACCCCAGTAAGCCTCTGGGGACTGTGGAGCTGATTGGGGAAATAAAACGTTTTTATGCGGCATCAGGAGTCCAAGCAAAAGTGCGCATTTGAATTTAAAACATGCCGCCGCAGCTGCAAAAATAAATAAACCAACGGTTCGCCACCGATGGTGTTGATGATGATGATGATGAAAGTGCTGCTGCTGCTGCTGCTGCTATTCTCGCTGGTGGCAATAAGATCTTTGCCTTATCAATAAGACAACCGGTGCAACTAAAGGGGGAGTACAGTCAATCTAGGCAACTTTACTTACTATTAATGATTCTGGTCAGCTTGTTGCGTCGCGTTGACGACGGACTCAGCATGCTCTCCCGGCGACTGCTGCCGGCACTCATGCTCCCATTGCCGCCGCCGCCACCGCTGCCGCCGCTGCCTGGATGAGAATGTGCCGTTAGGTCGCCATAATTGACATTCAGCTGGGCGTGCACCTGTGCCGAGGCAGCCGTTGCTGCCGCAATGCTGCTGCACGTCGAGTACAGGCTGCTCGCCGAGGGACGTTTGCTGAAGGGTGTCGGCGCTGCTGTGGCGGCGGTGCGTGGTATATCCAGCGAGGGGCGTGGCAGCTCACTAAACACTATCTCCGCGAAGGAGTCAATGCTGGCCGAACGCTGCAGAGCGCTGCTATCCTTGCGCCTGCAATTACAAGAGTCAAAGAATACACTTAAAAAAAGAAGGCGTGCTTTTCAAATAAAAAAGTTAAAATTAATTGTTAATTTTTTCTTAACAAGCATTAATTCGTTTAATTTCGAATGTATTTTTTACATATAAGCTAGGCCGTTTTGCTTTAAAGGGAAAAAAGTTCTAGCTAAACTTAAATTTTTTTTAGTGTAGTAGTAGTACTTGCTCTCAAAGACCGTGCTAGGCTTGAGTGTGGGGCAGTCACTTTGATTGCAACAAGTTTGTTGCAAACTTATAAACTATTGCAATTACTTCAGCTTCACGCTACCCTGGACATTTTAATGACCATTAAGTGTCGCCAGTCCGCTTCACCGTCGTCGCGGTCACTGGCCGGCCTAGTTACCATTAACTTGGCCATTACCATAATGTGGACGCTGTTTTATGGCTCGTCGCTGGTAAAGAGAAAGCCTTGGGATCTACTTTTGCTGCTGCTGCTGCGGCTGCCAGCTGGTGCTAATGCCTTGACTAATATGGTGCTAGCTGCTGTTCTGGCTGTTACTGCCACATCCATTGACGTGTTCATTCTGACCAACACTTTCTTTCAGTCTGTTTGCCACTGCACGCTTCTAACATGGACAGCTTTATGACTTGCACTCGTACGAAGTGTAATTGTGTGTCCCCAAAAACCAGAGACACAAGTTTGTAGACATAAACTGCAATTCAGTGGCTCTTAATGGATTAATTTTGACTGCTGTTTGTCTGCGGATTATGAAGATGAAGTGGTCAACTGGTCATTGCCCCCAATTGTCTAGCAAAAGCAATGGTGCCAAAAATAATTCTTGCTTATTTGCAGAAAAAATAATAATTTTGACACGCAAGACTTTGATAATAATTATGACTATATCATTTTGATATAATTATTAAGTTGCTAAAAAAATAGTATTTGTACTACATTTAAAAGATAATAAATAAATAAATATTAAATTTAAACTTCAGAACGGATATTTTTTCTAGTTTCTTACATCAAAAAATATAAATAAATTATATTTGCTTGATTTGTATTATTTGTAGAAACTTCTACTATTTTAAATATGTAAATATTTTGTTCTGCTAGAAAAAGTTAGTTTCTTTTCATTGTTTAATAACTAACTGGCAAAAATAAGTCTGCGGCTTCGATAAATTAATTGACTGGTAAATTATCTCAATTTACTCCACAACTCACAACAGAACACCTTTCTACCTGCCAGAATGCTTTAAATATTTATTTCGGTTATTATAATCAGCTCAATAATAATCCGTCATTTGAGTTAATTATACTAAATTGACTTAAATGTGTTTTTGATGGCTAAAACTATTTCGAAGCTCCACAGCAACTCCTATTAGATGTCTATTCCTTACAGTCTCATTTACTTAACTGGCTTATCAATCATATTTGGAATATTCCTATTGGCAACAGAAAACTCTGCGTTGAAGGCAAAAGCAAGTGCTTTAAATTGCTCTTAAATATTTGTGAGTAATTTTGAATTGCAAGCAAAGAACCGATGTCATATGTCGCACTCTCTGACATTTCAGCACATTATTTGTATTAAGTTAATAGTATTAACTGTTTCAACATTATGGAAATCGTGCATAATTCAATAGACTTCATGGCAGGTAAAACACATGCTTTGCTCGCACAGACTGAGTAATTATATTTCAGCGTTTACATATTTTGGCTGGGAATTTAGCTATAATCGTCAAAGGAGCCGCCGCATTTGGGTTTGCAGAGTTTGTGACCTTATGCCAAATTCGCGGCCATAAAACATCACTCAACTTAAATTGTCCTTCAAAACATGCACCACATGTCGTATGCGCAACATTTTCAATTATAACCACAAAATGCTGTTTGCAATTAGAACTCTGGCTGTAATCCCCCTCTGCACGCGCACTGCACCCCTCTGCCTATGCCACACCCACATTAATCAAGTTTAAATCTACATGCATATGTGTGGTTCTGGATGAAGTGGGTGTTTGCACACACATGCTAATTGCGTTAATTTGAAACGTAAATAAACGCACAAATCTCAACCCCATCCAGACAGTAACGCAGTCAAATTGAGTGCTTCTGGGAAACATAAGGATTAAATGTACTCAGCAGAAGGAGATGCAGGCCAGGCTTACGATGCGGTGGAGCAGGCACTTACCAATAGAGATGGGTGAGTAGTTTTGCCAAGAAATCAATCAAGATATATATAAAAAAAAATGTTTATGCATTTATCACAATGAAATTTAGTTATTAAATATTATTGCTAACGAAAACAATCAAAAAATGTTTCTATTAAATATTTTGTGTAAGTTTTATAAATGATTTCTTTAAGTCTTTGCTATATAAAATTATTTTTTAAATATGTTAATGAAGATTAATTGACTGCATGCATTTGCAAATTGTTCAAGAATTGTATATGTATTAGCCTGTTTATATTATAATATATATCGTTTGTTGAGCCCTGACTAGAATGGAGCCTGTATTATCAAATGCGTACCCAGAGAGAAGCAGAGGACGCCACTCCCCCTTTGAATCTCAACTTTACATAGACGCAAAGTGGAATAAAAAAAAAATAAAATTTTAATTAATGAGAAAATTTCAATTCGAAGAAAGTCAGCACTCGCATTAAAAGCTGAGTACACCCTTGACTCTGATTATTATTTGCTGTCTGTCTTTTAATGATTTCTGGGTTGTTGGCATAAACCTAATACATTTCAAGCTACTCATTTTAAAAACATAGCAACACGAGTTCAAGTTACCCGCACTTTGCCCATATGCCTCATCATCTGTGATTAGTGTTCATCTTTAATACTTAATACCCTAATCAAATTCAACTTATTAACATTTTTCCCACTCTCGTCACGCTGCCATCTCTAGTTTCCTGCACACTGCAAAAAAAAAAAAAGAAAACAAAAAACAATTAAGTCAACTCTCAATTAGACACATACATGTGGAATAATTTGCCAACAGCTAAATACGCTTAATCAACGCAAATTCAATGAAATTACAACGCTTGCAAGCAGCATACGAAGCCCCTCGTCTCTCCACACCCTCTCTAGTGCCCTAACCACATCATCAAGCGACCCTCCTGTGGCGGGGCGGAGGGGGATTGTGTGAAAAAGTTGTCCTCATCATTGTGATTGTCGTGTTTCTCCTTTAGTTTAGTTGAGTTGAGTGGAGCGAGAGACTTCGCTTGCCACACACAGAACTTGCTACACAACACTTGCCACTTTCATGGCAGCGACTTTCAGTCATCTGTAGTTGTCAACTTGATGCTGTGAGCTTGTGTGTGTGTGTGTGTGTGTGAGTGTGTGTGTGTGTGTGTCTGTGAGTGTGTGTGTGTGTGTGTCTTGTGTGTATGAGTGACAAGCGGAAAAGTCTGCAATGCAGATGAGTTTATGGCAGGCAGCAAGTTGAGCAGCAGCAATGTCAATAGTAATCATTGTTATTAATTTAGGTGTGTGTTTGTCTTTGTGTGTCAGTTTACTCTACCAGGGCACTTTGACTGGTATGTAACTAACTGCCAACTAGCAATAAATCAACATGAGTAACAGTCAACAAAACACAAGTCAAAACTATTTTGGTAGGGACTGTACGACAGCTGATTTTCCTGTCAAATAACTTTTGTTTTTGTTGTGCAAATAGTTAGTTCATATTTTGATATATAGTTTTAAACGTTACGTGACATTTGACCTTTCAGAGGGAGTATTTAACTAACTAAATAACTAGGTGAAACTAACTTTTCAGACTTGATTGTGACAACACTCAAGATTTGTATGGCACAAAAGTAAAATACCATAAATAAAATAATGTAAAAAACTGTAAAGTTACTAATCAAATTAAATGGATTCCATTTTGTTAAACATAACTTATACTCCCCACTCATCAACTGTTTTACTAAAGGGTATTTGTGAATTCATTTGGTTCGCTTGACATTGGGCAAAAACATTAACATGCCACTTCAGTTGACAAGGTTAGCTTCATTTGCCAACAAGTAAGGTGCATGTAAACGTGGCAAATCTTTCTACATTTGTAGACTATGACTTACTATGTGTGTGAGTGTGTGTTAACTTAGTGTGTGTGTGTGTGTGTGTGTGATAGTATGTTGAGTGTTTTTCTATGACAGGCAGGACAGGCAACTGACTGCTGCTGCCTCATTTGCAAGTTAGGCAAATTCCCATTTGAGCTGACAACCTGCAACTGATTTCCTGGGGCTCAATTGTTACCATATTGTGCCACACACTCTCTATAAAATACACAGAAACACACTCGCACACACATTGACACTCATTGCTGGCATTTTCTTAGCACACTTGAGCGTAAAATTCTCAAGAAATATGTGGCATCCAACTCCTGCCCTGCCCATTTTTACCACAACCACCCCCTCACACAGCCCAGTGTCAACCCCTTGCGATGCTTTTAAAACGATTTTGGCGGCGCTGTCAACTTAGTGTTAGAATTTCGCTGACTAATGCTGGCAACAATAAAGCTCCACATAGACGCCATGCAAATGAAAGGGGCTTGTCGCATGCCTTGCCTTATAAAATGAGCAAAGACTCAGTCCTCGGAATGGGACTTGAATGTGAATTGTTCTTTAATATGGCATTAATGATTTAAAGTTCAACGGGAGAGAAGAAAACAATTGAAAGGAAACAGGTAACATATGGTTACATTCGATTTACGGAATGTAGTTCATAAAGCTATAAAAAATCATGTTTTAAAAGTCTGTCAAAAAATACGATTATTATACAAACCAACCAAATATACTATATTCTACACCACATTGTTGTTGTCGGTTTGTTTCATTAGCATCAGCTGTTATGAAAAGGTATATTTTTCATTTGTCAAATTTTATATGGCAGTTGAAAAATGTGCCCACTCCCAATTCCTGGCAACTGTTCACATTTTATATCACATCCCATAGCCGTACATATTCTATCCATTTTCTCCATTTTGGCAACATGTGGCATCATCGTTGAGCCGCATAGGCTCTCTCGTCGCTTGTAATCACATGAAGCACATTTCGAGCAGTCGTCGAACCCAGAAGTGAGCTCTTCCCATTGTGTTCTTTCATTTTCAGTGAAGACATCGCACTACAGCAACTCATCAACAGCAGCAACAGCAGCAACATCAAACGACACAACATGAACTGACGGAAAATGATTCAAAAACAAGTAAGATTGATGGTGTGTGTGGGGTCCGACCAGGAGATACCCTGCGCATGGCATTCAAGTTTCGTTAATTGTTATTCAATTATAGTTAATTATAGTTTATCTAATTTTTGTGCTTGTACGAAAAATTAAAGCAGCTACCACAACACAACTATCTTTAGAAATTATATAAAGTTTCTAACTCAGCCCGGTGAAATAACCACCCGAAGTTGTATTTTTGATTGTATCAAAATATATAAAATTAAATTAATTTTGTTAGCTCGTATAAAATTGTCAGGAGTGCTTCAATTTGCGACAACGCAAAAACTTTATATTTCCGATAATAGTAAACTTTTGAAATGCCATCAAATAAATTCGATAAATAATTAGAGTGAAAATGTGTTTGTTTAATCAAACAAAGTTGTTTCGGATCAGCATAAAAGTTAAATGGATTTGCAGTCAGCTTGAATCTTTCACCTTATGAAGAGTAAGAGTGAGGATTCCAAATTGACAATTACCATGATAAGGTATAAGTCTGGAGTTATAAATTAATCATTGAAAATTTATAATAGTATTTTAATGACGACATAGTTTCTATAAAATATTTTCACTTAAGTTACTCAACTAAATATTTTGATTATTCTTATTGGAATATAGATGACATATGTTGAAAACTTTAAGCCACCCATTTGACACCTGGACTTAAAACAGAGTATTTAAAAATGGCGGCGTTGTCAGGGGCAATGGCGGCAACAAATTGTAACCGACATCGACGACATGAACTGTTGCCTTTTTTGCGCTTTTTTTTATATTTTGCTCTACGCAGGGCAATTTATAAAATTTTACAGTACATAACTCTAGCTGCCATTGACAGAGGCAAGAGAGGCGGTGCCACGCCAACACTTTGACTAGCTAATGAGCTTGCTCTACACACAGTGTGTGTGTGTTTGTGTGTGTGGCACAGGACGTATGCGCAATTTTTATTTATGCTTCCCGTTTGCTGAACTGTCAGTCTTCGGCTGTCTCCCAGCTAGCTGCAGACCTCAACACGCACAAAACTTGATCCACAGCGAAAGAACAAGAAATCCAAGTTAAGCCAAGCCAACGCGCTAAGGCGCTAAGGAGCTAAGGAGCTGTGGCTGTTGCTCCGGTGACTGCGGCAGGACACTGTTTTATTGGCTGGCTGCGTTTGTCCTTCGGCGCTTGGAAATACTTTTTGCCAGCGTGGCTCATGAATAATGCATTCACAATTACGCTCGTGAGTGCTGTACAAGTGCACAGCGCAAAAATAGCCAAACTAAAATTAAATTCGATTTGACCTCGATTCGAGCATTTGCAATGCTTGCAAGCCATTCTTAATAGATGGCGATTATGAGCACAAAAAGCTATACAAAATAAACAATTATTTGAATTTATAGACTGGAATTAAATATGAAGATTTCGATTTACAGTTGAGATTTCCATTGAAAAGAAGTTGATTGAAGTACTTCATTAATTCAGAAATAACACATTTAACATTTAATATTATATAATTTATTATGTAAGTTTAACTAGTTTTCAATTCACAATAAATAACTAATTATTAATCGTAAGCGTTACTCTTTTAAATAGCTCGAATTACTTTCCATCTTTTTCTCTCAGTGTCAAGTGTCGGTGCAAAGTCAAACGAGACGAGCTCAGCTAAAAGAAAAAACTCAGCTATACTCGACTCTTTATCTTGTGCAGTTACCAAATTGTTGTGGTTGTTGCTATTGTTATGCCAATTGTAGCTGCTGTTGTTTTGTTTTATTTATTTTTACTGATTGTTTAACTTGGAAAGCAAGTTGTGTATATTTAGCAATGCATGCAGCACTGCAGACAAAACAAACAAAGTCCAATCTAAAGCCAAATTGGGTAAAACACCCTTAAACTAAGATCGCACTCCGACCATTGTTTGAAAATATCAAAGTTTAAATTCATAAAACGTTCCTTGGAGCATTGCAACCGGTGACGTCAACATGCAAAATAATATCTCACAAAACGATATAAGCTAACTAATAATAAACTGAACTCAGCTTTGCAATCTTATATATTTGTTATATATTTGTTAATTTGCATTCATTTTGGATTTGGGACTGCGAGATGTGTGCGTTTGTGGCAGTTACAAATTAAAATTGTAGACACTTAATACTGCCCCACCCACTTCTACTTCACCTTCTCCTCCGGCTGTCAAAAACAGTTAGCACCGCAGCTAACAACTTTTAGTTCATTTGGCACTGACCACAACCTAAATAAATAAGTTGCACAAGCAGAAATATTGGGAGCACGTTTCTCAATTCACATTTCAAATGCAATTTCGGGTGCTTACAAAAAATGAATAATTCAGCGAATGAATTCAAGTTCAAAGTGTTTTCTGATTAAGCTAGGAGGGTCCAGCGAGCGTATAATATATTGCAAACCTAACAAACCCAAAATCTGTGGGAAAAGCGCTTGAGACAAGCTTAAATTATTTTCACACAATTTGTTACGATGTGAGGAAATGAAATGCTAACGCAAGGCAGAATGCCATTAATGTTTAAATTCCCAAAAAAAAAAAAATTGTTTAAAGAAAATCGTCTCAGAAAATCATAAAGAAAAAAACTACAAATATTAATTTTTTCGCAACAAATTTTATAATTCGCTTTTCAAATTTTTATTGAGTAAAAATTTTTGCCCAAAAACCCACCATCCACAATCCAATTTTGAAACAACAACAAATAAAAGCATTTTTTATCCACTTTCTTTATTTCTTTTTAAGAAATGTTTTCATCTGAATTGAAGCCATTCAAAACAATAATAAATTAATATTTGCACATCCTGCTTATGAGCAAAATACAAATTATGATTGATTATACATCTTGTGAAAATATGAATTTATTAATAATTTTAATGGCTTCAATTCTGATGGATTGGTACTTAAATCAAGTATATTTTTGCACAACAAACCAAAACCATAGAAACTTTAATAAAATTCATCAAAAATAAATAATCAGTAGATAATTCACTTGAAGTACTTTTTACATGTCGGTTTAACTTTTGTGAATAATGATTTTGTTATGATTGAATTGCCAAGTTTTTATATTTTAAGCATTTATAATCCTTTAAAAGAGCTCTTGGCTATTGAAGCCGGATTCTTTTGAATTTTCATGAATTCGTGTTAATTAGTTAGATTTATTACTCATATTTTGTAATATTTTTTATTCACTTCCAGAGTTATGGGTTAAATGAGCTTTGTCGTAAAACTGCAGCACGAAACGCAGTTAATTAGCTAAATCTACGAGAACAGGGGAGGGTTGATGGGGACATGTTTTTAGTCTGCCAACAGCAGGAGCAAACTGCCGTGACAGGAACTCCTGTCCTGCCCAAATGCAAAAGCTAAATGAAGATAAATGCGGGCCCTCGAGAGACGCTGGCACATGTTATCGGACTCTGGAGCTCCCATACCATTCCTACTGCCTGCCTGTGACTTTGCCTGTGACTCGTCCTTGCAAATCTCACGTACTCGCATATGTCCGGCAATTTGGTAGACACACATGCAACTGCTGGCCGTTGGTTGTGGCAAAGATCAACTTTGCAACTTTTGCGGCAGGAATGAAATTAACTAATTGCCAAAGCGTTGGCTGCCAGTCGAGCTGATAGGGTGACTGAGACAGAGTTGACAAACTGACGGACATGACATACGCATGCACTCAGAGAAAAGCTTTTCACATTCAAGTATAATAAATTTGCCACCATTTTGTTCTTATATTTTTAGGTGCTGTACGCTCTTAAATATTCCTATTGCGTAGAATTTTCAATCCTGATTTTGACAATACTTTGTGTACTTGTTTTGAGTACAAAATGAGTTCATTATTTTTTTATTTTTTATTTTTTGCACAATGTAGATAAACACACATAGATTACATACGTACCTTTCCCAGGATAGACGGCGAGGCGCCTCTTCGCCCTGAGGCGCCTCCATATAGACACTGGGTTGCAGATTGGATCTGGCTGTAATGGCGCTTGATTGATGCAGCAATTTGGCCAGACGCGTGAAGGTCGTCTGTGCTCCCGAGGCGCTGCTGCTGCTGCCACTGCCACTGCCACTGCCACCAGCATCGGCCATTGCAAAGTCGTGCAGATGCTGGTGCGGATGCTGATGGTCCCTTGACAGTGGCGTCGTTGCCTCCGAGCATGCCGTGGCACGTTTTTTCGCCGCCAGGCGGCAAGGATGATAGCCACGCGACGATGGCGAGGAGGCGAGCCCGTGCGGTGCGGGTATCCTGCGTCAAATTGTAAAGTCAAGTGATTACACAACACAATACAACACAACAGACAACATATAACACATAACACATGACACACAGTAGAACACACTTGATAACAGACACGCAACTTACTGTCATATGTCACGTATGAGCAAGCGTGCACTGAGAGAACTTTTGGGCGGGGTTCTAACAATAAAACCAAAAATTACTGCTTTGTTGCTGGTTGCTTTTATTTGACATTTAAATTAAAATAATTGATGGATGAAATGGAATGGTTTTTAATTAGTGTAAAGTTTTACGAATTTTATAATTTTATTGTGAAATTTGTAACGCATTGAAGTAGACAGCTCCAACTCCATATATATTCTTGATCAACAGCTCGAGTTGTATCGATATAGCCATATAGTTGCCATAGGAATGATCAGTGAAGTTCAACTGCATTAGCAACCCGCACAATTTCTCTCAGTGCATGCAAGTTTAGCTTAGCTTCACATATTTTTCTGGCTTACCTGAGTAGCAGCGAGCCATCCGCATGGCACTCAAAGTCGTCGGATAGATGAAACAGTGAGCTATCTGCAACATGTTGCTGATATTGATGTTGCATTACAGCAGCATGTGCCGCATGTGCGTGCGGCGAGCTGCCTGACGATTTTCGGCGGTAAATCAGCGACGAATCATCTTTGGGTAAATTCAATGATTTCACCATCAATGTGTTGTTGTTGTTGTTTGTTAAATTGCTATTGTTGTTGTTGTGGCCAGAACCAGAACCACTACCACCAACACCAGCACCACTGCCACCACCGCCACCACCGCCACTTCCTCGTGTCAGCAGGGACCACCGATGGCCACTGGCGCTGCCACTGCGACTTTTACAGCCCAACAGGCGCTCATCTGTGGGGAGAACAATTTTTTGGGATAAAACGACTATTGTTAGTGACCATCATTATGGCATATATATGTTAGTCAGTGTGTGTTTGTGTAGTCTGCTGCACTTTAACAGCACTTTTTCAATTAAATTAAATTTAAAGTCAAGTTGAAAACATGTCAAATGGCCTTAATTAAGTTTGCCATGGTCAAAGTGGTATTAATTAGGTCACACATGACAACAGAACATCTTGAGTCTCTTACGCTGGCATATAACTTCTATTTGTGGGCACTGTGGCCACGCCTATTTTGTCACGTTGTGCTCTCTAATCAGCAAAATAACTATAGTATACATTTCAGCGCTGCATATGTGGCACTTACGACAACTCATGTGTTTGTTGCTTTTGCATGTTTGTGTAAGAATCCATAAATAATAATCACGTTATTCAGTTTTTGATGACAGCTAAACGTTCACGACGAGGATTCCCTGACACAAATTTGTATTTTTCCCTTTATTTACCTTTGTGTTAAAATGCTGAATGACCTGCAGTCTGACAGAGCACGGACGGAATGCTGATTGCTGTTTTAAAAAAATGTTTACAATCTGTGCGGTTTTTCTGCATTCCGGTGAGATAACTCGAATGACAGACAGACAGGCAGATGCTATAAAAAATGAGCGAATGCCAAAGCGAAAAATAAAAACAATCTCTAGCTTATACAGATGACACAGGTTTATGCATATCAAAAACATTGGGCAATCAATTTAGCAACATTCGAAAAAAAAAAATATAAGGGATAAAGCTAAATAAATTAAATGTGCAAAATCTGTCGAAATGCCAGTGGTTCTACCTTGATTCAAATCTATGAATTTATAAAATGAACTAATAGCTTAAAGCTTAAAAATCTATTCCATTTTCACTGCTTACGAGGAGCAGAAGACCAAAAATGCTATTGCTCTGTTTAAGTTCGTAGCAGTAGCAAAAGTAAAGGAATATTTGTATTGCAATTGCTGCTTCGGAGTTTTAAATATAAATATTGGTTAAATGCTGTGTTATGATAAAAAAAATATCAAAATTCCCAAAGAGAAAATAAAAAAATGGAATTGAAAAAATGAATCGAATTAAGTTGAAAAAAAAGAACACACGAAAAATGAATATTTGTTTTTTCAGTTAAAGCTGCTTATTTAAAGTTGAACTTAAATTTAAAAATGCATTTTAGTTGAATGTAGTTTACGTGCCACGACGTGTGTAGAGGACTACACGGATGTCCTTGCAATCCAATTATAGTTGGAATATAGTGTAAACTCCGTTATAAAAACAAACGCAGCTGGCGGTGTTAACTGTTTGTGTAGCAAGCCCAGTGGCTTAGTTATAAATATATATATATAAATATTGTATATATATTTATATATATATTGCAGATGTAGATTCATTACGCACCTAAATGAAATGTGTGCTTATCCGTGTGCAGCGAGACCAGCGGAAGTCCTGGGACAATGATGGCTGGCAGCGTTCGGGAACGCAACAATGGCGGCGGCAATTTGCGGCTGCCGCTGCGCGATTGTGCCCCGCTGCTCCCCACACCACCGCCTCCTCCTGCGCTTTGCTGTGCTCTGCAATTGGAAAGAGAGAGAGAGAGAGAGAGGAATAGCGCGAGTGAGAACGAGATTGAGGGAAAGACAGAGAGAGAGAGAGAGGGAAATAATAAGTTAATGCAATTATTTATTGAAGTCAACAGAGAGTTCCAACAAGCAAATGAAATTACTTGGCAGATACACTTAGAGAATAGTTTTGTTCTTAAAATTGTAAGTAAGGGTTGTTTATTAATATTTTTTGAATATGTAAGAGCCCTTCTTGACTATAAATAATCGATCATTAAACAAGAAACATTCTTAAGTAAAATATCAAGTATTCATTACAAGCCTTTTTATATTTACATACTTTTTTTATTTATATACTTTCTTACATTGAATAGGAATAAAATATTTGTTTTCCATGTAATTAAGTTCTTGATTTGATAAATATCTGGTTATGCTTGAATTATGCAACTGTTTTTAAATGAGAACAGTCGTCGAATCGTTGTCGAAATTATTAAATTCCAAGTATTGTAATGTATTGTATTTAAATTAAGAATGCCTGACTATTGACATCGTTTATACTTGATTTACTGCTCAGTGTAGCAGTAAATAGTTGCACTGCCCCCTCTAACCCCTCAACTCAGTTTACTTCCATTTCCGTGAAATTTGCTTGATATTTCAAAGGGGTCGAGTTGTGGGTTATGTGTTGGATCTGTCAGCGCTGTGAAGTGCATTTGATTGTTACCAGCAAAATGATTTTCTTACTCACACACACTAGCTGGAGCTGGCACATTTATATGCATACCAAATGCGCACTTGTCAGCGACACAAGGCCTCCTGCACTCCTTAAACCCTTACCGCCTCCCTCCGCCCATATCACAGTTGTATGTTGTCATTCCTTTCACAAATTGTTCAACTTGACGTATGATTGAATTTCTGGTACTCGATGCTGCTGGTGCTGCTGCCTCTGTCGCTACCAACTGTGCAGTTTGACAAGTACCAGCTGACTTGTATGATATAGAGCTGGCACGCCTACAACGCCCACTCTCTGAACAATTACACGCATCCGCTGCAAACTGCCAGCAGCATTTCATAGTTTTTCAATTCATTTCATACTTTGCCCCAAAAGAGCAAAATTAAACTGCCAGTTAAAAGTTAAAAGAAAATAATGAAATTACAAAAAAGTAATTTATATTTCATTTTTAAGTTTGATTACAAAATAATAAAATAACATTTTAAAATGTACATATAAAATATTAATACTTTTTCTGGGCCAATTAATTTTATAGCATAGACTCAAAATTCACAATTTTGCTTGTAATGAAGTCACAGCTTTCAGGATATATATTTTTTCTTATTTATCGCAATAAGCAGACAATATATATATCTTTTATAGCCAAATCAATTCTTCACTTTTTATGGGGCATCAATTTTTATTGACAGCTTTTTCTATAACCAATAATCTTTTAAAAGTTGTCCATATATTGCGAGTAGAATATGGTAGGGAGATTTCTTTCCTTTCGAAAAACTTAACATTCACTAAGGCAAGCGAAAATTTAAAAGAGCTCAAACTAAAGTTGATATATGCATATCTCTTTTAATACGTAACCCATATCGAAAATTGGCAGCCAACATCTCCCAGAGAAACGAACACGAATTGAGCACATTATTGACGAGAAGAAACTTTTTGCCACCCGCAGGCTTCGTGATAGTTGCACGGCTTAAAGTGGCGCCCCAGTGCGGCATCAAGCTTTATTGCAGTCCCAGTCCCCACCCACCACCACTTGACATTCTGTTTTGGCACTGCACAAAAGTTACAGTCGCATTCATTATACATATACATTCTTTTTTTTGTTGTCAGCTAAGCATTTTATGTACGTCCTTGCAGAAGCAGCAGCAGCAGCAGCAGCAGCAGCGGAAACAAAAATGCCAAATAACTGCTGCAGCATCACATACTCACACACACTCACACACACCCACTTAAGCACACACGCGCACACACAATAAATAAATGTTAGAACTTTACACAATACCTTTAACGCCAAGCCTGGCTTTTGTTTATAGCCGCATTATTTTGATGAGGTCGCCGGCGAAAAGGGTTCTGCATTCAAGTGCGTTAGGCAACCCATTACCCTCAATAAGGCAGGCTCAAATAGAGGCATCCGCGAACATCCGCCAAGCCCCCACCGATCAAGGACAAGCTGTTACTTGGGCACAGCAGGCGGCGCCCCGGATCTGACAGGAAGTTAGGCAGCCAGGTCGTCGTCAGGTCGTCGTCCGCCTCGACTTTTTGGTAAGTTGCCCATTTTTGTGCGCCCACCACCCCCAGCCCCACATCCACATTGTCGCCTCTGTTGAGGCAGTCGCATAACTCAAAGCGGATCTACATAATTGACTCGCAGCCGTAACCCGTACATTACCCAACAACAGTAACAACAACAATAACGAGCACTTGGCACTTGGCACTTGCCACCTTCTTGTGTTCTGCAGCAGCAACGTTAACAAGTTCCCTCAAATTACCGTAAAATTCTTTAAGAATGCCGTGACATAAAAGTTTAAACAAAAAAAAATACATATATATATATGCTTGATTGTGGAATGATTTTGTAACTTGCCAGACAGACAGGTAGAAGATACGACTGAGGAATACTTTAACAGTCTATGTGAAGATACTACAGATTAAAGATTACATATGGCAGAGTACGTAGATCTGGAGAAGATCAATTTGAAGTCAAGAAAAAGCTGTTCACATTAAAAACGAAATCTGCATCTTAAAACATTGAAATTTGTACAAAAATCAAGACCAGCATTCTCTATTAATAGTTATGATGCCATTTACCACCTACCTAAAGATATACACAACAGTCTGAAAAATGTATTACTATGACTCATTTCACCACTCTGCCCATTTCTTAATAATCTTAAATCTCTTTTTTATGCACACATTATTATGTCTGTGGTAATAAATATAAATGTTTGTTAAGGCCTTGCCACATTAAACAAAAACATTACCCAGACACTTACATTGGAAAAATATGCGACTCATTTATCAAAATAAAAAATACTCTGACCACACATAAGTTAAAATGTGTAACTGGCAAATGCGTGCTGAGCAAAGGTCAAGGACGTCATAGGTGTCACTCAAAAGTTGTCAGGCTCGGAATTGTGTTCAAAACAAGGAATCACAACTAGCGAACAACATTCGGTGCCACAAAATGAGAACATCGAAAAACGTTTTCAAAGTCTGGTTAAAGTTTTGGGTCGAGTAGTTGAATTTTTTTCTTCTTCTGAAAATCGCACACGTACACAAATATTTAATGAGCAGACCGCAAACGGAAGAAAAATTGCCAGCTGAAACATGTCTGCCCAAAATTACGTATACGCACTGTGCTGTGCTCTGTAATCTATCTCATGCCGATGTGTGTGCGCCTGTTTCTCGGTTGTGTAATTGCATTTCGAGCTGTGTTTACATGTGCGTGCATAATTGAAGCAAATGTTGCTCGTATAATCAAATCAACAGAATGTTGGGATAGGCGAAAACTGAACGGCTGCCGCTCGTTTTAACTCTTTGGGAGGCAGTTGCTTTTTTTTGTTGCTTTGATGATGTGACCACGCCCTTTTCCCACATTCCTTGTATTTAGCTCAAGTTTTATAATGAAATTAAGTGGCGTCGCGACGGCTGACTGAAAGTGGGTAACCGGCACAGGGGCCGAACAAGTGCTGCTTAATGATTTTGACAACAAAAAAATCACACAAAAAACTTTAAGAATTTTAACAAGCGTTGCTTTTCTTGCCTCCATTTTCATCCCCGTTTTCTGCAATTTGGTTGCGCCTAATTGAGTTTACTGCTACTATATATAAATATATATACACATACTTATATACATTATTCTGTTTACACCCCCAACTCTGAGCAGCATAAAAAACATTTTCATTAGAGCGATGCAGCGAGGCAAAAGCATTTCAAAAATTTGGACCAAACATAAAGCAGCGTAAAACAGGCGGCGAAACGGCAACAACAACGCATATAATAAATACTGAGAATTAAGTGTAGAGAGAGAAAGAGCGAGAGTGAGAGAGACAGAGGAAGAGAGAGAGACAGAGAGAGAGAGTGGAGGAATGAGAATGAGGACGGCGGTTGAAAGTGAGCAATGTTTTGCTCAAGAGATGATTTTTGGAGCGTTCTAAGTTTTTCTACACACTGCATGACAGTTTATATATATATATATATACACTTAGAAAAATCAGGTGCACATATTGTCAACATTTGGGCAACGAGGAAAATTCTAAACAAAACATGGTTTAATTTAAGTAAAATATAAAAAATATGTATTCAATAAAACGAAAACAGTTTATATGAGAAATTGAAATTTGTATTAAAAAACAACAACAAAAAAATTTTAAGTATAAAATAAAACGTGTTAAGTAAGAAACAACAACAACTGATTATTTTGAAGTGTAGAATTATTTATACTTATTGAAAAGTCTTCAATAGTATGTTTTAATATAAACAGTCGAAAATAAAACAATTTCCTCTCAGCCTTAGTTTAAAGCAACGATTTTTTTTTGTGTGAGTCAGGAGTGAGCAATGGCTGCAGCTTGTGCGGCACATAGCTGCTGCATCTGCTACAGATCCTATTTTATCTGCAGCTTTGTTTTTGCATTTACCACAAGCAGCTTAGACGCTACTTGCAGCAATCTTGCCAAACTACCTTCAAGTGTCCCGTGGCTTCTAAGAATTGCCTCAAGCAGTATCCGCAATTCACCTGCCACAAACACCCATACACAGAATGCGTGCTGCAGGCGATTGACAAAGCAATATCCGTATATGTACGTATATATATATATATATATACATATATATAAATGCATATATCTGTAAGAAAATTGCCAAATAGCAATCGAGGATTGCGGGTGGCTAAAGAGCGACCCATAAAAGTAGACAAATCCTGTCCGGAGACAGCATAAAATGTTTGCAATGCAATTTTTTTTATACTTTACTTTGACTATCTCAAAGTGCATAACATTTTTATTCATTTTATTCAAAGTAGTAGGTAGCATCTTCTTTTTTTATTTTTATCTATATTGCATTTTAAATATGCAAGGACAGTGGATCCCTTATGAAGTGCTGAAGTCTGCAATTCCTCTGGCATTAATTCCATAGTTGAGTCGTTAAAATAGACGAGATGCCATTTGGCTTGTAAGTGGGATGAAGCTCTAAGACGTATATAATCCCAATTGAACGATCTATACTGTTCATGACAATTACATATATTAAGCATTAAAAACAAGTAAGAATAGTCTAGTGAGCTCGATTATGAGATTCCCTGAACCCAGTTGATAAATATATTCAAGATATTCTCCAATTTAAAGAGTTTTGATTTCTGATTTTGATGAAATTGGCCTTTAAATGGTGGCTTTTATTGCTAACGAGAATCGATTTGTATCGATATTCGCGAAACGTGGTAGTTATCGATGAAATAAAATAAACTTGACATGTGCATGAAAATAATATTTAAAGTTTAAAGTCTTGAAGTCTCTAAGATCCGCGAGTTTATACAGACGGATCCTGATCAAGAATATCTATATAAATTGTGTGGGATATGATTCCTCCTGCGTGTTACATACAATTACACAAACCCATTAAACAATTTTTAATGGTTTCAGGTAATAAAAGTCAGGGTGTCAAATCGTATCAATATTGTTTCACATAAAAAAACAGTTTTCTCTGTAATTTTAACGTCATGGCGCATTCTACAATTAATTCTGTCCGCGTTTAATTTAAGTCATGAAAAGATACGAGAATTGTGTATGCGTCAAACATCAACATCCGCAACAACCGAGCATGGAACAATGGACAACGTTGTGCAACTTTAAAGTAATGCAAAAGGCAAACTCAAACTTTCGTTAAACTTAAATGGTTTTTTAATTGCTACAAATCCTTCAGTCGCGATGGCAACACAGGGGCAGGAAGGAGAAAAGCTGAAAAGGCGCCACAGCAAATGCGATAAATTCAATATACTTGAATTGAGCGGCTTAATAAGGAAAATCCTTGCAAAGTCTCAAGTTGCGAATGGCGGTGGAAATAGGCAAAAGCAAAAGGCGATAAGGCAAATGCAATGATAGCAAAACATAAAAGTAACAGTAAATTTATCTCAAACTTCTGCGATGGTAAGTGAAAATCCAAGAGAATTGATGGATGGAGATGGTAGTTTAAACATTTTTCAACTTACTGTCGCTCCTTGCGCTGTTGCCGCTTCTTCTTGAATGCCTTTTTCACGCGCAGCAAGAGGAATGCGGCTCGATCCACGGAGAGGGTGGTGCCGCTCTTCTTTGTGGCCGACGCCGCAGCGCTGCCAGCGCCAACTTCATCCATGGTTTGGTTTTTGTTGTTGTTGTTTCGTTAAATCCTCGTTGTTTGCTGTTGCTGCTGCTGTTGCTGCTGCTGTTGCTGCTGCTGTTGCTGATGCTGCTGACCTTTGTATGTTGCTGTGTATTTAAATTGAAATGTCAATGGACGCTGGCGTGTTGAGGTTATGCAGCAGCCAGCAGCTTGCTGACGTCACAAGCACAGTCGCTGCCTCAGCCGGCAGCGCTGTCAGCGACATTTGAATGCGCTTTGCGTTGTCTTCGCTGCGGTTGCTGTTGTTGTTTTTGTTGTTGTTATTGCTTTTCACTTTAACTTGCTTTTCGTGAGTGCTTTTGTTGTTGCTGTTGTTGCCGTTATTCCCTTTTAAGCAAGCATTGTATTTGCTACACTTTCGTTTTATTATTTGTACTATTATCAAATACCGCTGTGCGTTGTCTGGCGTAAAGTAATATGAATACAAGCACACACACACACACACACACGCATACACATACTTATGTGCATATGTATAAAATACATGCGCGTGCCCTTGTCACACATACATATGTACATATTTCCCATTCCCGTCGTGTCGTGTTTGCTATGCAAATAATATTTTGTCTGTTCGTCGTTGGAGACAAACAATAACAAACCCCAAGCACTCGCACACACACACAGACACACACAAACACACACACACACACACACACACAGACAGACACACACATTCGCATAACACGTCTTACACTTTCTTATTCTTTAATGGCCGCCAGGCGACGCCTGAAATGCTGCCACACTTTTTTTTATTTAACAGTCAGCTTACAGCACTTACAGCATCCATCGTTCTCTCTCTCTAGCTCTCTCCCTCTAGCTCACTCTTACTCTCTGCCTCCGTCTCTCTTTTGCACACATGGGCACATGTTAATATGCGTTTATGTGATATTGTTTTATTTATGATTTCTTATTGCTGCTTAGCTCGTTGCAAATTTACGATTTTACGCATTAACATAAGCAACTTTTTTATGAAGCGAGACCAAAAACGTTAACCGGAGTCAGCCTTGCCGGCACAGGAGCACAGCACAGAAGCAGAGGAGCACCATAGCAGGGACCTAAGGCCACTTGTCATGTGGCGCATTTTATTATGGAAAATACGAAAAATTGAAATTCATGCAGTCGCTTTCCCTACTCACTTACTACTGACAAATTCATGGATTGCCTTTTATCCACACTTTGAGAATTGTGTTCGTTATGGCTGCTGTTGTTATTGTTGTTGTTACTGTGGATTTTGTCAGGTATATGAGAACGTGACCAAAACTTTTTCTACGGCATTTCTAATTTCAACAGTTGAACAGTTGACAGACATCCTGTCAACTGTCAACTCCACACTGACGCCTCAGTATTAACCCACCGGCAACCAATCCAAAGACGCGTCGTGCCTTCCTCAGTAGATCAATTACGGATTAGCTGTCAATTTCATTTGTGTGTCAAAAGTAATCCATGCCAAGCTTATATGCCAAATTGAAATACCACCTCCTTGACTGACATCCTCACAATCGCCCCGCTTATGTCCTTTTTTCATTGGAGTGGATTTTGAGAACATTTTAAGCACATTTACACACACACACACACGCACACACACTTTCATATGATTGGGGTCTGTCTCTCACCTGACTGGCAGTTGCCTTGATAAAAGATAAGCAATTGCTGCCCAACTAAGCTGCTTTTGCTTGCGTACACTCTGAGATAAAATGCAGATCATTGTAACCACATTTATCAACCAAAATCCTTGTTTAAAAATCAAACAATGTTTTTTTCTTGTCAACACCAAACTGAAGACGAGTCTTGTTATTTTAAGAAAAACAAGATTGCTTGAAGATATTTAATTTTTTCTTTAATTTAATAAATGGTTATAATAAGCATTTTACATTTCTAGAATTAATTTTTTTATTTTTGAAAAATTTACATTCAAAAAGGATTTAAACTTTTTTGAATATATTCAATAATGAATTTTACTTTAAGTAAACTGTTGGAAGTTTTTTTGCTATTCTACTAGAGTTTCGAAGGGCACTTTTGTCTGAGTGTAGACAGCCCAGAAGGGCGATTTAGTTCTAGGTTTTTGGCGAGTTAACTTAATATTGACTTACGGACATTTGCTTCACACAATTGAAAACTATTTACAGCCACAGAACAACGGGGAGGCAATGGTTGGATTTTCACTAAAGGTGACCACCGAAAGATGAACGCCCTTGACCAATTTAACGCCTCCCCCACGAATTGCAGCAGCAACCATCCCACCCCCTGGGAAAAAACAATCCCAAAAATCAAAGAAACTCTGAACTCAGCACAAAATCCAACTTAATTCTTATCTGACAATGCGACGAACAGATAGTCTAGTGATAAATGACTGCCTCAATTTGGGTCACTTGATACAAGCCCAAGCAAGTTTGGCAACTTGGAGAGGGGGTGGGGGGAGGTCAGACGGCTGCCTGATAAGGTAAACATTGATGAGCTAGTTAACTGAAATAATTGTTTGCCACTGGCAGCTGTCTTCTACTTAGTCGAGATAAATTAACTTATTTTGTAAATCACTCAGCGTGCGAGTGATGATGATGGGACATAAAATTGAATAACCAAGCTAGAAAACTCAAGATGCTCAATGGCAACTGAATTGATGGATTACAATTAGTAGTTGAAGCTAAGAATGAACTTGATTGAGGACTCTGATGCAACTTTTGTAATTCTTTGAATTTCAATTTGTACAGTTCATTAACATAAATATATTCAAATACTATATTCGATTTATGTATTATTTGATGTTTATTTGATTTATTTGCCAACTTAAATGTATGGATTCTGACAGTTTAAAATATCAAATATATATATCATCGTTGTATTTCCTTAATAAGGAAATTTACTTGATAGGAAACTCAATAAGGAAGTTTATTTTTCTACTTATATGTAGACATTTAAAATACGAATAAATCTCTTCTTTGGAAGGTACTTGTTATACAAATACGATATTAGATATCTTATGAAAACTATATTTTAATATGCGTTAAGCACACGAATAAGTAATTTTTCAGGCTCTTCTTTCTCTTCACATGTAAAACTGTTTGCAAATTTAGAAGTTTCCTGATTAACAGTTTCAAATTAAAAAAAAAAAAACGAAATCTGAAATGCGCTTTAACCTACAAATTTACTTAATATGCACATTTAACAATTTGTACTTTACAAGTAGCAGCAATTTTCACATTTCATCTGGAGAAACTCCAAGTGCAACAGAAGCACTTGAAACTAAACGGAAACTAAACTTAAAACGAGCTTTTAATTTGAGTAAACTTCTGCTACTCATTACTTGCTTAATTGGCTTCATAAAAATCAGCAATGAGTATTTGCAAGTATTTACGTACATACATTTATTGATCAATTATCACACTATTGCACACTACCTTAAATAAAGGACATCAACACGTTTTAAGTGCACATAACATTATTTTACAACCGAATTTTAGTGAGTCGTGTAAATTCCACTGAAATGGCTGAACTGTTGAGTATCTGGCTAATTGGTGGGTTTTGTCGAGTCATGCCGAATTGAATCGTGTTCTTTGATATTTTCCCATTAACTATATGGCTGGCACCTTGCACAAAGGCAACGCTTAGTGTAATTGACATTTACTTTATGTAGCTGAAGCGCGTATTGAGTTAATTGAATGTCATGCCAGGCCAAGCTCTGCCAAGTTCTGCCCATCCATGCCAAGTTAAACAGCCGCTGGCCGCTTGCCTGTCGTTTACAGTTCACTGCAATTCTCTCTCTCTCTCTCTCTCTCTCTCTCTCTCTCTCTCTATCTCTGACTGTCTCTCTCACGCTTGTTAGTCATTTCCAGCAGTCACGCCCAATGATCCAATGATGGGGAGGGATTGGCCAGGCAGGCTGGCGGGCAGGCAGTCATATAAATTGCGCAAAATGACATTAAAGTCAATCATTTTGGGCTCACAATCAGACCACACAGGGCAGGAATTGTTTGGTGCCGCCGCAGTTGATTTATTTGCCATTAGGCCGAAGTCTGTGGTGGGCAACAAACACAGAAAGGATGCCACAATTAAACAATAATTTTCAGCAGACAAACACAGCAAGAAAAGTGTCGTACTTCCAGAAAGTAAACCCTGTTCTAGTACATACTTGATAAACGAACAATTTACTAAAAGTGAGAGCAAAAAATGGAAGCCGAAACAGGAAAAATGTAAAGCAAATAAAAAAAACTCTTACAAATATTGCGTACAGCACCTTTTCCTTTATACTTTAACAATAGAAACAAAGAAAACAAAAAAGGTGAAAATTTAGTAGAATCATAACTTGAAGTAGGCTTGATCTGAATGTGTTTTCAGCAATCCTTGCTGGTCCTTGTTGGACCATATTACAATTGAATACCCACAGGAGTATTATGTCCTTTATTTTATTGTTTTCTTTCATTCTTAATTTTTAATCTAATTTCTCCCTTTCGATTTTATATAATTTACTTTGTAACTTAAATTTAAATTTAATTTTAAGCGCTTTTAGGAAAATGTGCACCGTTTTTAGTAAACGTTAAAAAAATTGAGGTTTTCTATTCATTTTTTAGTCCATAAATTCATGAATAAAAAACTTCAAGTTTGTTTGAAAAAAAAACTCATTAAACTATTCGACCAGATTATTTTCTAGTTTATTAAACTACGAATTTCTCTTTGTGCAATTAGAGAAGAAGAGAAAGAGAGAGAGAGAAAGAGAGAGAGAGAGTGAGAGGGTGAGTTAGTTCACCCAGCTAACAAAGGACCGCTCAAAAGTCACACAAGCGAATAAAGTGAATCGTTTTGACGGTTTGTCTTTTAGCTGGGGAACAACTTGAAAAGCGCCGAGGCATGAAAATACGTGCTTTTATTAAGGATCAAGGACTCTCATATATCTTTATGGACTACTTTAAAGCCCAAACGCGTGCTGTTCAGTTTTTGGTTTATCTTTTTGTTTTTTTTTTTCCGGGGGGTCAGGTAACTTTTTAGACGATGTTTAGC